TAGGTTTGGATCTTTGTAATTTACTATTTTTGCAGGTTAGATTTTGAGCCCACAGAAGAAGAAAATCGGAGAGTTGACTCCGATTGGCTGACTCCGGCTGCCTAACGTTACCTTATTACTAGTCCACTTCACACAGTGTGCTTTTTTTTCCAAATATATTTGACTTATTTTCCTAATAAAATATTATAGTTTCATTTGTATCAACGAATGGAAAACTAGCTCAGTTTGTGAAGGGGAACGTGTACAATGGAAAGGACATGGGTTCGATAACCAGGTCTTGCATTTTCATTTTTTTCTAATGCTTTACATGCAGATTCAGTGTATCCAGTCAGCATATGTATACCATACACCACATGGTCAACACCAGGAGATCTCATCTGATCCAGATCAACGCATCCAAGCGCGTAGATCACCATGGGCACTCGGAGGTTGTCCTCAATGGATCACAAGGCAGAGTTGGGCTCCTTCTATCTTGGGTATGCGTTTTGCAAGTCATACCCCCCATATTTCTACTGATATCCTGACCCATTTACTTTTTTCCTCTTTTTCTATTTATTTGTTTAATTGTTTTTTATTATTACAATATAAAATCAGATAAAAATTACAAAAATTAGGTTAGTTTTTTTTTAATTAAATTATTTTTCTTTTTTTGAAAATTAATTAATTAATCACCTTAACATATTTTTAAAATTAAAATTAAACAGACTTAGATTTTAATTTCTTTTCATAACAAAAATACCAAAAAAGCTTAGATTTGTTTTCTTTATTTTAAATTTCACATTTTCTTCAATAATTAATATCTTTTTCTAGGTTAATTAATTAATTTGTTAACTTAAAATTTTCTTAATAATATAAAACCAAAGCAAACAAAAATATTTTTCTTCTTAGGGTTTTAGAAGTATTTTCAATTCACGCGTTTACTTTTACTTTCGCACTTTTGCATATTATTGTATCTGCTTATTGGGATGTAATAGACTTAACTAGGACTTTACTTTTACTGCTTTTTATTTTTCCCCATTTTAAACATGTAAATAATCCCCTCCCCAAAGTCTTGTAATAGCTAGATTTATATTTTCGCACTTTTCATTATTGTAAATTATTAACTGTTTAGATGTATGCTAATTAGGATTGTATGGCAAGAGTTTAACAAACTAAAACTAGCAAACCTAACACAAGATAAATAACTGAATATAACATAATTGCACATGCGAACCTCTAGGATATCCCACTTTGGTTGCCTTCGGAAAAATAGTCACAACTCTCGAAACGTGAGAGATTTTAGTGGCTACCCTGCAGTTTAAAGATCATAGGTCCCTCAATGACCCTCTCGATGTTGCCTCGGTAAAAATGATCTTAATACCCTAGGGTAGTTACTAAGATTTCTGGCCCAGTTTCCTTTGTGACTATAAACGTCCCTTCGAATGTTCCTCAAACATCCAACGACTAGGGCTGGGTACTCACTAATAGTAGGATAACACTGTCTAAAGGAAAAGAGGAAATGAACAATCCTTTCGAGTAAAGTAGATAGTTGTTAGATGATTGCTCAAACAAATTTTTACACTTACATAAAACAACTTTCAAAAACATTTTCAAAAACGCTTTATCAACACTCTTGAGGACTGATACAAGAGTTATCATAAAGCGAGTTGCCTTACCATTAGAATTTCAAATACTTTCAAGAACACACAAATCGTAAGGTATTTCAAAATGAGCTAAGCATCTAAGAGCCCGTAAATAACTACGGATGGAAAGGGTGCTAATACCTTTCCTTTCCATAATCTACCCCCCTTAATTAGAAAACATCTCGAAATGTCTTTTCCTGTTCTTTTCACCCTTTCCTTTGTTGGATAAAAGAAAAGTCGGTGACGACTCTTACTTACCGCAACATTTGCAAATACAAACGTAAAACGAGTATAACAGTCGGTTCTGCCACTGTATCACAGTCCAATCTTTCCATATTTCTAACATCTCACATATGTTTCATTGTTTTTCTTCACATATGACCTTCCCCTAGCAACCAACACTGAGTTTGATGATGTATTATCCTCACACTTCAATCTTCTTTCTTCAGGAATAAATTTACTAGCAACTTCTTAAAAACCACAAGTTTCCTTCCCATATATCAAAAGATGTTTAATATGCTCATAGGAAAACAGAATAGATCATGTGAGTCTCAAAGTTTTATCTTTATAATCAATCTTGACTCCAATAATTTTAAATTCATAAACAATGCCATTTAGAACATTTAGATGATCATATTTTGTATGTTTATTCATACGCAAGCTATGAAACTGCTCATTCAACAATAAACAATTTGATATACCTTTTCCTTGATATAACCCTTCAAGTTTTTCTCAAAGTACTTTGGGAGATGATGTACCAAGAACATTCACAAGAATATTCTTAGACAAAGTCATGCAGATTATACTTGAAGCTCTCAAATCCAGTTCCCCCCCCCCCCCCCTTCTCATTTCCATATTGAAAATATTTCCTTTCAATGTCTTGTGTAATCCTAATTGTATCAAAACATCTTAGACTTGAATTTTTCACAAACCAAAATTGATGCTTCCATCAAATTTCTCTAACTCAATCTTCACTACACTTGAAAAACTTGACATTGGAGCCAAAACCTTTCATGCAGCAAAATAAAATTTTCCCAGCCAACACAAAGTATGAAATTTCTTTTTTGATGTGGAAGATCAGACAAAACTACAACCACAAAACATATTAGAAAAATTTATACCCCACTAAACCAAGGCTCTGAAACCACTTGTTGGAAAAAAATAAAGCATATAGAAAAGGAGGAACATAATAACAACACAAGAGATTAACATGGAAACTCCAAAATCAAAGAAAAAAGCACGACCGTTGTCAAATGACAACCAAAGAACAACACAGTGTGAAAACTATTACAACACATAGATTATCGTAAACTATTCCAAGGCCCCAATACAACCACACTCTCCAAAGAAAATATTTAGCTACACCTCACAATACTATAAATCAAAAGTATAAGAGAAAATATATTTAAAAAAATCAAATACAAGCTTAAAGTGTTTTTTTTCTAATACATCTTGTAACGAAGAACTTGAATTCTTTATATAGCATTGGTTTTCCTCTTCCTTCACAAAAATAAGTGATGTGGATCTTCAAAGAACCTAAATTCTATATATAACGTTGGACTCTCTCTTCTTTTACAAAATTAAACGATGTGGGACTTCTTCAAATATATTTGTTCAACTAACTCCAACAATATATATATATATATATATATATATATATATATATATATATATATATATATATATACACACACACACACACACATCCGAGGTTACATACAGTTACAGATCACCATCTTCAATACTCCAGAAGACAGATGTTCAGACATGTGGTCTGACATCACACAACACAACTCAAACACAACACAAGAGCCTCTGACAGGTCCATTACTTCCCTTGTCACACATAATTTGTACTCCCCCTCAAGGGAAAACCAAATTACCAGAAAATCCAATCTACCAAATATGAACTACCCAAGTTCACACATCAGAGGCAGATGCAGCAGAAGATAAAGCAGCATCACATCAGGATTTTTACAACGGCCAAGATGTCAGAACATCACATAAGACAAACATCATGCACACAGATACCACATCAACAGAAGCACAAAACAAGCATGACAGACTATCATGCTCCTCCTAAATAGTCACATACAACAAGCAACCACAATAACTACTCTCTCCTTAGCAGTAGTACATTCCTATCAGCATGCTAATAAACATGTCAAGACATCTATCATAACATCAAGACAAATAAAATACACTAACACTTTACTCCCCCTTTTTAGCTAAAAATTGACCAAAAAAATTATAGTAAATGTAAAAACACAAATTAGAAGCACACATATTGCACACAAGCAATAACATAGATGGAAGTATACACTTTAAAACTCAGATGGAAACCAACAAAACTTAGATGGAAACACATTAATCTCAGACGGAAACACACAAACTTGAATAACTTAAGGTGATCTTCCACTTCTTGTCCTTGTCAAAGATCCTTCTACACTCCTTGGTGTTGTCACCAGCTCTTCTATCTTGCAGAGATCTTTCGTTTCATCCTTTAACAATAACAACTTGTTTAGACTTCCTAAACACCAGAAAATAGAGGAAAGATACAGTATCAGTTGCACTCCTCCATATCTATAATTGTTATAACTCCTCAATAATGCAGATTCCCAGCTCTCTGCTTCTACCTCGCTTTAGTATATATATATATATATATATATATATATATATATATATATATATATATATATATATATATATATATATATATATATATATATATATATATATATATATATATATATATATATATATATATATATATATATATATATATATATATATATATATATATATATATATATATATATATATATATATATATATATATATATATATATATATATATATATATATATATATATATATATATATATATATATATCGATTTGATTGATATTGACATACATATAGAAAAAAAATATAAAACTTGATTTTTGTGTTTTAAACATGAATTGAAAATTATCATTTTTCAAAATGATATAAACATGTGGATAGTTGTTGAAAAATGATAATTTGAAATTCATGTTTAAAACACAAAAACCAAGTTTTATTTTTTGTCCTATATGTTTAAATTGATTTGTTTGATATTAACATACATATAGAAAAATAAATAAACTTGATTTTTGTATTTTAAATATGACTTGGAAATTATCATTTTTCAAAATGATGTAAACATGTCAATAGTTGTTATTATTGACTAATATTTGAAAGATAAAAAACTATATTAATATTAAAATAACCAATTTCTATATAACATGTGTGCAATGTGCTCCACTTAAACACATTTGCATACTTTATCTAAGACAAAAATCGCTTAAGGAAATAACTAAAGTACCCCCACAAGCTAAGAAAGATAATAGAAAGAAGAATGGGTTTAACACAAGTACTACGCATGAATGGGGGTATGGAAGAAATAAGCTATGCAAACAACTCCTTAATTCAGAGAGAGGCGATTTCTTTGACAACATCTTTGAGAGCTAAAGCCATAACAAATCTATATTGCAGTTTATGCCCTAGAAGTTTAGCAATTGCAGATTTGGGTTGCTCTTCGGGACCAAACACAATGTTGGTGATTTCAGAAATAATCAAGGTTGTAGAAAAGCTTTGTCAAGAGATGAATTATAAATCTCCTGAATATAAGGTCTTTTTAAACGATTTATATGGAAATGACTTCAACAGCGTATTTAAGTCTTTGGACAACTTCAAAGAAAAATTATGTGTTGAAATGCAAACTGAAATGAATCCTTGCTACATCTTTGGTGTTCCCGGTTCCTTTTACGGTAGAATTTTTCCTAATAAGAGTTTGCATTTTGTCCACTCTTCCTATAGTCTTCACTGGTTATCTAAGGTTTGTTTGCGTTAATTATCTCTCATGTTTTAAATTGTCGACGTTTCTTATTTTTTTGTTTGTTGGTGATTAAATAGGTTCCCAAAGGTGTAGAAAACAATAAGGGAAACATTTACGTGACGAGCACAAGCCCATCAAATGTTCTCAAGTCTTACTACAAGCAATTTCATATAGATTTCTCTCAATTTCTAAAGTATCGTGCCGAAGAAATAGTTGAAGGGGGTTGCATGATTCTCACATTTTTAGGAAGAGAAAGCGACGATTTATTAAGCGACGGTGTTTGTTACGGTTGGGAACTTTTGGCTACAGCTCTTAATGACATGGTCATGCAGGTAGGTGGTGAAAACAATTTCTAACACTTGAAACATTAGTGTGACAATATTAATATGAACAATGCAATTTGTGTTGTAGGAAATCATAGAAGAAGAGAAACTCAATACTTTTAACATCCCAAATTATTATCCATCGCTGTCTGAAGTGAAATTGGAAGTTGAAACTGAAGGGTCATTTTCCATCAATCAGTTAGAGGTTTTTGAAGTAAATCTGCATGCCCTTGATTCTGATTTGTCTGAATCTCTTGCAAAAGGCACAAGAGCTGTGATTGAACCTTTGTTAGTTAGTCATTTTAGTGAAGATGTCACTAAAGAGGTGTTTGACCGCCATAGAAAAATATTAACATATGGAATATCCAAAGAAAGAACTAAGATGACCAATCTCATTGTAACATTGACTAGAAAATCATGAAAAAAAACTGTTTTTGTAGGTGAATTCTTATTTATCCAATTCAAAAAATTGGATAAAATTATATTCATGTGTAAAATGTCTTGAAAATAAAAAATAATTATATTATTTAATAAATGAATAAATATGTTAAAATTAAATAGTATTTTGTAATTGATTGAGAGTATACTATCTAATTTTTTGTGATGGAAAGAGAAGTTTTTTTTTTATAATTAATATTTATTAAATAATGTTCAAAATCAGTTTGATGGTCAACAACACCAACAATGTTTAGATATGATTTCACATGCATCAATATGGGAGATATGGATGTTGCGTAATGTTTCTATTATCTTTGATAATGGTTATGTGTGTTAAGCAAGACATTTTTTGTACTAAGCAAAGATGTATACTAACTATAGAGGAATGCAGATACTCTAACCCAAATACACTGATGAATCAAAGTAGTTTTAGATAAAGAAGGGGATTTTTGTACCAATCATAAAAATTACATTTTTGATTGGTACCAAAATCAACACTAAGCCAATTTTTGATTGGTACCAAAATCAACACTAACCCAAAACCATGACAATACTATAAATGTTGAAGTTCATATCCGCTACACTAGCAGTAGCATTATTGAATATTATATCATTTCGTTAGTTCTACAAAGACCATTTAAAAGCCATTCAAATGACACTCAAATACCTCCCATCCACCTTCCCATCCCAGCACGACATCGTCTTCATGAACACAATGTTATCCTCAGCAAATGTGTCGAAATCAGTCCAGGTACAAACATTTTACTATATGCTTTATACTACCGAACATCTAAGAAAGAGGTGTTTGATATCTTTCACCTGTTGGTCACAAAACACACACTAAATCTTGAGAATTATGAATAATATTTCTATAGAACATTTGCATTCTTGTTGGAATTATATCTTGTACAAGACGCCAATAAATTTTTTTAACTTTTTCAAAGACTTTAGTTTCCCACACCAGTTTCATAACCTTTCTCAGAAATTCTTCTACTTGAATTGCCATACCCGCATTACTTCTAGGAACGACTTCTGTCAACAGCTGAGTCAATTTCACGAGCTCTTCTGCCACAACATTGTCTAAGGATCCCTGCACCATGGTATTGAAATGCACACACCGATGTCAAACATCTAGACGCCACTCCCCCATGCTGCCAACATCAATGTACTTGTTGATCAGGCTCATATATACGTTTGGAAACAAAGCTGCCAAAGTGTTTCGACATGTCCAATTTGAAGTCCAGAATGAGATGTTTGCACCAAAACCAAGTTTAAAAGAAACATACCTCAAGAAGCCATTAGCAATCTCCTTTCCCCCATTACTAACAAGGTCCCTCCACCAAAGGGAGCATTTTGATCGATTATTAACCAACACATTAGACCAAAAACATTGTTTGATATTTCATATCTATGCTCCAATATACCTTTTCAAATTGGCCCATCCTCCTTTAGAAATCTCCAAATCCATTTAGACATTAAAGCATTGTTGAAAGCAGTAACATCTTTAATCCCAAGCCATCTACCCTCGACCGTGGCAAAGTCGACACCACTTTGTTAATTAGACGTAAAGCAAAGTATATTCTTTTATTTCAAATATATGTAGATGATATCATATTCGGTTCTACGGATGAGTCTCTTTGTTGAGAATTTTCTAGTTTAATGCAGGGAGAGTTTAAGATGTCTCTTATAGGAGAATTCATTTATTTCTTGAGATTGCAAATCAAACAAGCTGAAGAATGCACCTTTATAAGTCAAACCAAAAATTGCCTAGAGCTTCTGAAGAAGTATTTGGATATGAAGGACTCAATGAGTATCTCGACACCCATGAAATTTAATATGCTTATTGACAAAGACGAACGAGGAGTGGACTTCGACATTACCAAGTATAGAGGTAGATCCTTACTCTATTTAACTGCGAGTAAGCCAGGTATCATGTTTAGCATGTGTATGTGGGCTATATATCAAGCATCACCTAAGGAATCACATTTTAAGATCGTAAAACCTATTTTAAGGTATCTTAATGGAACTTCACAACAAGGTATTTGGTATCCTAAGGGTAGTTCTTGTAGCTTAGTAGGTTACTCGTCTTCAAATTTTGCGGGGTGCAAGTCGAATAGGAAAAGTACTAGTGGTACATGTTACTTATTTGAAAGTTGTTTAGTTTCTTGACATAGTAAAAAGCAGCATAGTATTGCTCTTTCTACCGACGAGGCTGAATATATAGCCACTGGTAGTTGTTATCACAAGTCTTATGGCTAAAGCAACAATTGCTAGATTATAATTTAAAACTTGCCTATATTTTGAGTAAGTGCGATTAGCCTCACTAAGAATATGGTATTTTATTCATGAACTAAACACATTGAGATCATGCACCATTTTCTTAGAGATCATATTGAAAAAGAGGATGTTATTTTTGAATACGTTGATGATAAAAGTCAGCTTGCTGACATTTTTACAAAACCATTATCATTGAAACCTTTTCAAAAGATCTGTAGAGATTTGAGAAACTTAAATTCATTATGCTTTAAATAGAATAAGTATGATGTTTAGTTTCATTTTCTATATGTTTGGTTTTAACTAACAGTATTTTGTAGAAAATCTTACTTTGCAAATCTTACATTGTATGTCTCCAAACTCTATCATTGTGTGTGTTTGTTCTATGTATTCATTTGTGTGCTTGCTATCTCTCTAATTTTCTCATTCATTTCTCTAATATGTCTTTGATTTTTCTTTTCATTTAAGACTTTTAAATGTGAAGTTCTAATTATGTTCATTTGAGCATTAGTATAATTATTAATGCACTATTTATCTTTCAAAGACATTCCTTTATATTGTCTTTTGATCATTGTTGTTATATTTTGTATAATCTATGTTCTTTTTTGTTGCATATAGCATGTTTATCTTCATATTTGTATCTGATCTTAGTTGTTGTATATTTTTTTGTAATAAGTTGTTGTATATTATTCTTAGCTTGTTTAAGTTCATTTTTTCTTCTGGAATTACTTTTAAAGGTTGTTTGTTTTTTGTTTAGGTGCATTAGTATCTCTTTTTGATGTTATCAAAGGGGAAGAAGTTGTAATGAGTCTATGATTGGTCTTATGTGTCTTATATTATGGTTTATGTGCAATGTTTCAGGGGGAGCACAATATTTTCGCTTTTCGCTCAAGTCGACTCAACTACAAGTGAAAGCTTGCCAAGCATCAAAAAGGGGAAGATTGTAGTTGCATATCCCGAAGGGGAGTTGGTTGCATGTCTTTATGATATGTAGGGGGAACACCCCCAATACAATTATTTTGTTGCTTGTGTTATCTCTTTCTCTTATTTTCTTTTATTGAGTCTCCTTCATAAATTGCACACCTTGAATCAAGTTTTGAAATCGATTTGTGAATCTTGTAGAATGCATAAATCATTGGTTATATTTGAACTTGTTCAAGATGTTTTTAGTCAAGTGCACGTGTTTGATGCATTTGATTTGAATCAATCATTTACACACTCAATTTGATTCGAATCAAATCCAACATAAGTGACCAAAACTTTTCAAAAACCATTTGACTTGAATCGGGTTTAACACATCATTCGAATCAGGTTTTACACATGATTCAAATCAGACAATTTCATGTCACCTCTGCCTAATTTTATTCAAATCACACTTTACACATGATTTGAATCATGCAAATTTTCAGGATTTTTCGAAGTTCATGGAGCAATTGATTCAATCAAATATTGCACCTGATTCAAATCATGTGGCCTATGATTCAAATCGCACATTGCACTTTATTAAAATGAACTGCAAAAAAGGTCAAAAATTTGAATCTCTTTTATTCCATTCACTTGCTCACTTGACTTCTTACATGAATCGACTTTGATTTGTGCTTCATCTCCAACCCACATATAAGCTTTTGTTAATACTTTCATAACATGAGAATTCAAGTGGACTTCATGTTCATGTGAATTTTCTGTGAAAAATAAAATACCTCTTTTGAAACTCTTGTATTGAATTTCTTTCATCTGCAACATCTTTTCAATTTCATTTCTTAATCATGATGATTTTTAAATGATTGAGGAAGACGTTATCTTGAAAATAATCATTGTTGAAGATTAGATAAAAGATTTTCACTTTATTGCAAGATTGGGGTTTCTGTCATTGTTAATGACAAAATCTAATAAAAATAAGAAGGTCTTCTCTCCATAATTGTCATAATAGTTACTGTGTGGAAGGATATGGATAAGCCATAGCTCTTTTTACATCTTCATAAAATTCACCGCTCAAGGAATCAGTAGTATCAAGGGGTTGATTGCTGCACACGAAGACTTCAAGATGAATTAGTGATATTGGAAGATTGGAAGCGTTGATCGAGTGAAGATTGCACATGAGAGTTTGGCATTTGGCCATATACAAGTCAAGATCCAAATCTAAAATTTTATTTGTTATTTTTCTTCAAAATTATCATGGACTAGTAATTGTATATACTCTCAAGATATTTGTCAAAATAAAGGAACAACTGTTAAAGTGGACATAGACTCACACGAGAACAACAGAGTCAAACCACTATAAATCCCATTGTCATCTCACTATCCCTTAATCTTGAATTTGAATTTCATAGAACATGCATGCTTAGGTTTATATTTTTGTAATAGTGATTTATTTGATAAGATTAGGTTTTGTTGGCAATTGAAACCTATTAAGAGCTTTAGTGATGGTTAAAATCTGAGAAACATCCTGCTTTTAGAATTTTCCTTGTTGATTAATTTCTTAACCATATCTCATGACTTTTCCAATTAATTCAACTGCATATTTCGTGGTTCTTATTCATCTAGACATTATGATATTTGTAAAGTGATTTGAGTTGGTACTAAATAATTCTAAATATAGTATAATTTCACATTTTTGCTCTACAAACTTTCTCGTGCAAACTCTGAAAAAATCTCTGGTTATTCTCATTTGAAGAATCGGTTGATTTTTTTAAAAATTATATTAACACC